GCAGGCCAGGGATCGAGCCCCGGCCCTGGCCCTAGTTTGATAGCTTTAATTGACAGCTGTTTACCATGTCTCATACAAAACAAGACTTTTAGAGTGTGAATCACCTATTGCAGTGAACCTGTAATTGCGCTTTGTTTTGTTTTTCTGAGAGAGGGTCTCAATATGTAGTGCAGGCTGACCTTGAACACATGGCTATCCTGCTTCCCCCTCTCAAGGGCTGGGATTATAGGAATGTGCCATCATACTGGTGTGCTACATTTTTTGAGTGCAGCTTTCTTTTTGTTGGCATCTTAGAGCCTTCTGTTTTCTTCTTTTAGCTCTTATTCCCCACCATCACCTCTGTGTTGTCTTTTTGTTTTGATTTTGAGGTCTTGGTAGGTAGTCCAGGCTGGTTTTGAACTCACCATGTAGCCCAGACTGGACTTACACTCATGATAATCCTGCCTCAGCCTCCCAAATAGTGAAATTACATGCATGCATGCATGCATCCCCCTGGGCTTGATGTTTTGTTTTGTTTGCTTTAGTTTGGTGTGTTTTGTTGAGACAGGATCTCACCATGTATCCTAGGCTGGCCTTGACATCAAGGTGACCCTCCTTCCTTGTCCTCCCAAGTGCTGGGAATACAGGAATGCACCACCGTGTCCAGTTCATGACATTTATTTTTTATTAATTTTGGCTATAGTTAGCATGGGGACTTACCAAAACTGTGACTTAGACAAGTGGGCAGTTTGGGAAAGAGGCATGGACAGAAATGGCAAATAAAAGTATGGACAGGTAATGTGGAAATGAAAATAAGAGCTACTGTCTGGGTTAAACCTGATGGGGGGTTGTTATGGCTCGTGTCTGAATGTGCCCCCAGTGCCTCATGCCACCATGCGAGTGGGGAGCTTTTCTGAAGTGGCTGAATCTAGAGTTTGTGATTGGCTCATTGTGTAATGCTGGAATTGGGGTATGAGTGCTACACTTGCCACCCTGGGGCAGGGAGCTTGCATACGGCGTAAGGGAGGAAAGGAGACTGGCTCCTCCCTTTTGCCCACTTGTGCTCTTGCGGCTTTTTCTGTCTTCCACTGCCAGGAGTGGTTGCCCTCTGCCGCACCACCCTGCCTTGGAGCCAGTTGATTATGAACTGAACTTCCACAAACTGTGAGCTAAATAAACCTTTCCTCTTTTAACATTGGATGGTAGGTATTTTGTCCTAGCAATAAGAGAATGGTAACTAAGATACGGACGAAGCCATGAAGTTGACTACATCAACCCTAAAGCTGGCCTGCTAGATGCAGCCTAAGGATGTTGCTATCCATCTGCAAGCAACTGATTTGTTGTGAGGGTCTGTACACTCATACCTCTCTGCTAACGTTCATCTGTATTTTTGCCACTCCCTTGCATACATAGTTCACAGTAGGCTTCCTGTTCCTGTGAGAATCTAGCACCACTGCTAGTCTGACAGGAAGTGAAGCTTGGCAGTCAATACAGATGAGGCTTCCCTGACTTGTCCCACCCTCCTCCTGGTATGGCCTGGTGCCTAACAGGGAAAGGACCATCCTGATCCAAGGCCCAGGAGCTGAGGATCCCCGCTGGTAGTATTTCCCTCCATTTGAACAAGTGGATTATGCATTTTTTAAAAATGGATTTACTACAAGGTCTACGGGGTCTACAAGGTCTCAC